AGGGTTTAGGGTTTAGGGTGCGCTTCGAGTTGAGAACGATGCATTCTGGTAACACCAAGATGTTCCGACAGAAACAAGCAAACTCGCAAGTGCTTGCAGCAAGCGCTTATCGCCCGGTAGCCTCTGGTGTAGATTTCTGTGCAGCGGATGCGAATTGCGAACGTGGCGGAGCAAACAGCATGCTGCAAACACACTGCTGATAACAAGTGCACTACCCCGACAACCAATGCAGTCATCAGAGTAAGTGTCATTGAAGGCATACTCCGAAATCCAGAACTAGGGACTGAAACTCGAAATCTCGACGGAAACGGTCAACATGCCGGAGTTAAAGAGGGGCTTCATCTGAGTCTGAGGGTTGTGGCACCGTCTAGCTTTGCCAGCCCCAACACCGAAACCCTTACACCGAAGCCCTGAACCCTAAATCCCAAACTCAATCAGCACTAAACCCAAACCCTAAACTCCAAACTGCAAACCCCAGGCCCAAAGCCGTAAACGCAAACCCCATTTCCTGAACCCGACCCTAGACCCTAAACCCTAAACCCCTAAAACCAAAACCCTAAACCGTGGCGAAGCCGTATTATACTACAATTATGATAAGGAGCCCCCAAAAATCCTATTCTAATTTAAAGGCCCCTTCGTTCTTTAGTAGAACCCTAAATCCGATACTCGAACTTCGCCGAAGCGCCGAGTATTGGCCGCTGCTGTCACGAGCCAGACCGGGCCTTTTGTGGGGTAAGGGGTTTAGCGTTTAGGTGTTTAGGGGTTTAGCGTTTAGGGGTTTAGGGGTTTAGCGTTTAGGGGTTTAGGGGTTTAGCCTTTAGGCGTTAAGGGGTTTAGGGATTCGGGATTAGGGGTTTCGTTTTTAGGGTTTAGGGGTTTAGGGGTTTCGGGTTTATAAGTGTTTAAGGGTTCACGGGTTTAGGGGCCTCGAGCGTTCTTATATGGGGTTCCTATAAGAGTTCCTGTAAGGGATTCTTATAGGGCTTCCTACAAGGCTTCCCGCAACCGTTTTCAAGGAGAACTATCAGGGTTCCTAGAAGGGCTTCTGGTCCATCGAAGGCCAGCCCAGGGGCTCCAGTTACCTAAATAGTAGTTTCTTGTATTTTGTTGTTTTGTATTCCCATGGTATTCTATCAAATTTTGTGATGTTTTATTACTATGCTACCTAAACCCTGAACCCCTAAACCTTCTTAAACCCTAAACCCTAAACCGTGGCTACCTAAACCCTGAACCCCTATAAACTTAGGGCGAATCAAGGCACAATCTTCAGGACATCGGCTTTGAAGGTGAAACTCGGACCCGGTCCCCAACCTTGAGATTCATGGGATAGTACTGGTTTTGGGGGCCTTCAAAGTTAGAATGGGGCTTTAGGGGTCTGTTCTTACATACCAGGTTTGTAAGAGGGAACCCTAAGAAAAAAACACATTGGTAGTTGTCGGGCCAGTTATTTCGGCTTCTATATACTCATCCCACCCGCGGACACCGCCAATTCCAATACTCCCAAACTTGCTACAGGGTAGTACCAGGGTTTACTAAACCCTAGAAACCCTAAACCCCTAAACCCTAAACCCTATAAGCCCTAAATCCTCTAAACCCTAAACCCCTGAACCCTAAACCCTATAAACCCTGAACCCTGTAAACCCTAAACCCTAAACCCTATAAACCCTAAACCCTAAACCCCCAAACCCCCAACCCTATAAATCCTAGACCCTAAACCCCTAAACCCTAAACCCTATAAACCCTAAACCCTAGAAACCCTAAACCCTAAACCTAAACCCTAGAAACCCTAAACCCTAAACCTAAACCCTAGAAACCCTA